CTGAGGAACAACACCCTGTCAAGTTTTCACGGGGGACCTCAACCTAAAGACATCTTGGTAATATGTACACTTAGGAAAGATGAAAAGAAGAGAGGTACAAAGATTTTTTTTACAGTAGAGTGTCAGATGATTTATTCTCTGCTTTCCTCTCATGTAAAATGTTTGGAAACAGAAAAATATTTTGGCCAAGGTGCCTCACGCCTGTAATCCCGGCGCTTTAGGAGGCCGAGGAGGGTGATCAATTAAGGTCAGGAGTTCGAAACCAACCTAGCCAACATGGCGAAACCCTGTCTCTACTAAACATACAAAATTAGCTGGACGTGGTGGTGGCGCCTATAAGCCCAGCTACTTGGGAGGCTGAGGCAGGAGAATCGCTTGAACCCGGGAGTCAGAGGTTGCAGTGAGCTGAGACTGCACCATTGCACTCCAGCCTGGCGACAGGGTGAGACTCCGTCTCAAAAAAAAAGAAGAAAAAAAAATATATATATATATATATATGTGTGTGTGTGTGTATATATGTATATATATGTGTGTGTATATATATGTATGGTTTGCTTCCTCATTCACCTTATCAAAGACTCTCATTTACGCCCCTCCCGTGGACCCCAAACCACAAACCATGACTGCGGTACCCGTTTATGAATCGCGTTTGCTCAAACACGCCCTTTAACGTTTTAACAAAGCCTCAGGTTAATTTTAGGGGGAGAATGGTGGGACTGGAAGCTCCATGAACCACAGCTCCTCCCACGCTGGAATCCCGCACACCGAGTCGGGATCTCCCGGATCACCCTCCCGTGGTCACCGCACTACCTGGGTGGGGGAGGCGCGGGGTTCCGGAGAGGGCTCCGGCCGGCGGAAGTGGCGCCCACAGGTACAGACAGGACGCAGGGGTCCCGCTGCCCGCACCGCCCGGCCCTGCACAGAAGGGGACTGAGGCCCGGCTGCGCCGCGGCGACTCGGTCCGCAGGTTCCGCAGCCGATGGCTGGTTCCAGCAGGTTTCACCCAGCCCTCTTCCCCACCTCGGGAAGCCAGGCGCAGTCCACTCACCGTTCCTCGGCTTCCCGGGTGTCCCGGCGTCAGCTAGGGATGTCCCAACACCCGCAGGTCACAGGGTGGCCGAGGCTGCTGCAGAAGCCACCGGGCCTCCCAGAGCCAAGAAGTAGCAGCGGAGACTCACAGGAAGAGCCTACGGTGGCGAAGGCGAGACAAAGCGCCCGCCAGCCGGATCCCGGAAGCCGCCCTCCCTTTCCGGCGGCGCGCCTGATTGACGGGCCCCCACTCCAGCGTCCCTGATTGTCTGGGGCTTCAGGCCCCGCCCCCTCAGGCCCTGAGTGACAGGAGATTGCGATCTCACGTGAGGCTGGATGAGGCCAGAATGACCGTTTTGGCCTAGCGGTTTGTAGGGCGTGCATCCTTCCTGCGCTGGGATCTGACCACGCAAGGAGCACATTCGCATTTAACCTTGTATACAAGATTATGGCTATTTTGCGTAATAAGATATAAAATTGCAAGCAATATAATGGCAATTCTGTAACTGCCCAGTGGGTTCACCTTGCCCGCTACCTAGACAGAGCCGATTTCTCAAGACTGGGGGGAATAGCAATAGAGAAGGAGTAACTCACGCAGAGTCGGCTGTGCGGGAGACCGGAGATTTGATTTTTATTTTATTTTATTTCATTTATTTATTTTATTATTTCTGAAACAGAGTCTTGCTCTGTCGCCCAGGCTGGAGTGCAGCCTCGGAGTTTTATGATTATTCAAATCAGTCTCCCTGAGCATTTGGGGAAAAGAGTATTTAGAAAGTTTATTTTGCCAAGGTTGGGGATGCTTGTGCATGACACAGCCTCAGGATGTCCTGATGACAGTTGCCCAAGGTGGTCAGAGCACAGCTTGGTTTTGTTGGAGATAAATGCTCGGTGTCGTAAAGTAAACTAGAACTTAAGCAAAAGTTTTCTCAGCAACGCAATTTACCTCTGGGAAGCGTGCTGCTCCATCAATCACAATCGCAAGAGCACAGGAACAAAGGAAAGCAGGGGTTTTTATTCCTAATGCAATCCCTACCTCTGGCATGGGCTGGGCCAGACCTCAAGATCTACACTGACCCCGTTGGCTATTTGTGAACATTTTCCCAAATAAGGAGGGGGAAGGGATGTGAGTTACAACGGTGGGACATGTGGTTTGAAGGGAGAAATGGGTGCAGAGCAGGTAACCAAGGGAACAGATGTGAGTATTGATTAGAACTGAGGGGAAGGTTGTTTACAGTAACTAAGGGCAAGGAGGCATGGAGAACAAGAAAGTTGAGTTCGAGAACAAAACACAAGAACGTTAACATGCCAAACCTTGGAAGAGAAACTGACCGTATCTGACAGTTTTACACATTTTAGGGAGACAGGAGACATCAATCAACATATGTAAGATGAACACTGGTTTGATCTGGTACAACCTGAAGCAAAAGTGGGTCAACTCGAAGCCAGGAGGGGGCTTCCAGGTCACAGGAGGTGAGAGAGGAACGTTGCATTCTTCTGAGTTTCTGATGAGCCTTTCCAAAGGAGGCAATAAGATATGCATTCCTCAGCGAGCAGCGGATGACTTTGAATAGAATGGGAGGCAGGTTTGCCCTAAGCATTCCCAGATTGATTTTCCCTTTATCTTAGTGATTTGCGGGGCCCAAAATATTTTCCTTTCCAATTTCCCCCTTTTGTTTTAAAAATATTTTGGAGAAAGCATTTTAGAAGAAAATCAGTCTCTGGTGGCAGGTTTTGTCTGACTTCTCATGGAGTAGCTGAGATTACAGGCGAGCGACACCACACCTAGCTAATTTTTTTTTTTTTTTTTTTTGGTAGAAACGGGGGTCTCCCTCGGTTGCCAAGGCTGTCTCTGGTGCCCAACGCAGGGCTCCGCGTAATCTCTACAAATAATCCAGTGAAGGAACACCAGAGCGTGGAAAGCTGAGGACGACCGACAAAGGACTCCCGAGTAGGTTTTCACTTCAAGCTCTAGGGTAAGGAGGGCGCTCGGGGAATTCCAGGGAAACCTCGGGAAAATGTGGGTGGAGCTGACAGTAAGTTCGCTAATTACTTAAGCCTTGTGCAGCAGTTACTGCGCCGAGGAGGGGTAATTGTCAGCACCCAAAATCTCACATCTTTGTTCCGTCTGGTAGACAAGTATTCTCCTTGGTTCCTGGAATATGGAATCATGAATGTAGAAGATTGGAACAAGGTCGGATCAGACTTAAAATGAGCACAAGAAGAGGGCCGCGATATTCCCGTCTCTGCTTGGTCTGTGTGGTCTGCAATTAAAACAGCCCTGGAGCCCTTCCACACTGAGGAGGAGAAGGAGGATTTTCAGGATGACATAGGAAAGTTGAGTAATCAGGAGTCTAATTATCAGCTAAGTGAACCATGACAGTCTCGTTTAAAAAAGGGCGAGAAACGGGAAGGTATGTATGCTAATCTCCAGAGACTTATAAAAGAAACTGTGCCACCTACTGCGCCTTTCAGGGAAGGTCTGGAATGGCCACCCCCAGGCCAGCCTCTTGAATATTTGGAAGGGGAGCCTGAGACCCGCGCCTTGCCGCTCCCATCGTTGCAGGCCCCGCCAGTAACTATGGCGAAGGGAAGCTTCAGGCTTGTCCAACAGCCAATTAGGATGAGGGATTGATCCAGGCTTGCCCACCTGTTAGTTATGGTAGAGGAGTGCTGCGAGCAGGTCCAAATACAAATATGGCACAGGGACAATCCAGTCATCCATTCGCCAGGCACAAGAAATGGGGGATTTGAATGCTTGGCAGCTTCTGGTAATTATTTCACCAGCTGAGGAGGCCAGAAAACTTACTCAAGCATGCTGGGAGCCATTTCCTTTTAAAATATTAAAAGACTTAAAGCAAGCAATTGGACAATATGGGCCATATTCCCCTTATGTTCATTCCTTGTTACAATGTGTGGCTTATAACAGACGCTGAATACCTATGGATTGGGAGGCACTAGCCCTTCCACTTTCCACCATGAGGTGAAAAAGACTGAGACTCCACCAGTTGCAACTGCTCAATCTCAGACATTCCAGCCACCAATATTGTGAGCCAAAAGGACCTTTTTTCTTATAAATTACCCAGCCTCAGGTATTCTGTTACAGAAGCACAAAACAGACTAAGACATAAACGTATGAAAAAACTCACTGAAGGTGTAGGGAAAATGGTGTTGACCTAAGTCACTTTGAAAATGAATAGAATCCGTATGCTGAAGGCAAATGAACTATACTTCATCACTGGATTCCATTTTATAAAGTTCTTTCCAACAGAAGCAATTGTGAACAATTGTAAAACCACAGTATCTGTATCTGGAATAAAGCAATGACTTACATAAGTCACAGATGGTAGGAACCAGGTTTCTCACTGTTGAAGTGGGAGGTTACAAATTAGCAAGGGGAGAAGGCTAGAATGATTCATGTGATAGTAGATCAGAGGTGGAGACATGAATGTAAACTTATGTTTAGTTTAATATAGATACACACAGTTCTACATAGAAAACTTTATGATTAGGTGTGTATAGGTAGGTTAGACACACACATATACTTCCTAGCATTGCTAATGAAGAACAAGTGCTATTCAACAATGTGCTCATTTGGCAGCCAGATGTAAGTTTTCCTACCATTCTGAAAGGAATCATGCTCTTTGAAGAAATGTCTGATACTAGAACTGGGACAGTAAATATAGGAGTCAGGATAATCTTGAAGTATCAGAAAGTAAGTAAGTACTAAAAAAAATTAAAATATATCAAAGAAAAATAATAGCCAATAAAAACAGCTACTGATGGCCAACACAGGAATGAATTGTAGTGTTGAATAATAACTAAAGCTGAAAGTAATTATCTAGGTGTCTGTATTTGTATACACAGGTGAATAAGAAAATGGAGTTGCATAGAAATCTCCTTTGCAAAAGAATTCCAAATAATTGATGTAGACACTCAGCCATCAAAATGTGGAGCCAACACCTCACTCCGTAAGTGTGGGCTCCGCACAGTGTCGTGCTCCAAAAGAACACATGCAGTATGGGCAAGGAGGAAAAATAACTTCACAGTGGAGAAACCTGACAAACAGTAGCTCTTCCAAATGATCCAAGTGAACATCAAAGGTGACAGTTCACCTTGAGAACATGCAGTGACAATGGGGGACATTCTACAAAATTCCTGACCAATCCTCCTCAGTAATGTCAAGGTCATCATGACACGGAAAGCCTGACACATTGTCACAGCCAGGAAGAGCCCACAGGGACGTGATGACTACATGTCATGCGGGATCTTGGATGGGATCCTGGGTCAGAGTAAGACAGAACCAAGGGCATCCAAATGAAATATGAACTTTAGTTAATAATAGTCTATCAGTATTGGTTCATAAACTATGACAAATTATGTAAGATATTAATAAGCCATGTGAGATACACTGAAGATGTTAATAAGAGATGAAACTAGGTTGCAGCTACATGGGAAATCTCTGCATTTTTGGGGGGGCAATTTCTGAGTAAGTAAAAAAATGATGTAAAATAAAACTTTATTTAAAAGTTATATTTTTTTAACACTTCCTTGTTTAATTATTTATATCATGAATTACTAGTAATTGACACTGTTAACTAGTCCTGTTTTTAAAAATAAGAGCATTTATGACACAAAAAATTAAACAGTGCAGATTGATATATAAATCAAAACAAATGCTCTTTACATGCTTTCCGTTAGAGTAGTCACACATATGTGTAAACTTAATTATCATATTTTTTTCTTGTGTTGTGGTTGTGTCCCAGGTTCATTCTCTAAAATGCCGTTTGCCTTAGACCAGGAAAAAAAATAACCTTATAGACTCTGTTTCAATTCATGGCTAAATATTTTCAAAAGAGTGACTTTGTAAAAATATGTTCCAATGGAAAATTGATTCGTTGTGATGGGATCACTTATTCCAAAGACTTCTTGTCTTTATTTTGTGCCCATGCCTACCTTTTAGTCATAATACAACAGAATCAAATATTAGCCACTGGGAAAAAATATTCAAAGAAAGAAAGAATGTGGAGAGAACTTATGACATTGATGATTCAATGTTTTACCACAATGCTTTCTAAAACAGAAGAGTGTAAAAGGATATTCAAAGTCAATTTCCTCAGTGAGGCTTTGCAGAAAATGAGGAAACTAAGGAAACAAAAATGGCAGGACATTCTACAGGTGATTTTAGATGTTGCTATGTTTTACGGGAAAAAAAATACTTTTACCTTTTAAAGAATCACAAAGAATTATTGGAAACCCAAACTCTGGAATGTTTGCAAATTTAGTTGAGCTTCTGTGTAATTATGTCTATATAGCTAGCCACAAAGTTGATGATTTTTTTAAAATCTGTGCCTTATTTGTGTAATAAAATAAGCAATGAATAATTAATGCTCATAGGAAAACATGTTAGACCTTTTGAAAGGAAAATCAATCTTGGGGACCCAAAATCACTAAACTAAAGGGAAAAGTCAAGCTGGGAACTGCTGAGGGCAAATCTGTCTCCCATTCTATCCAAACTCACCCATCTGCTCACCGAGAGAAAGGCATATCTGATTGCCTCATTTGAAGAGAGTAATCAGCAATGCAAAAGGATGAAACCATTTGTCTCTTACCTACCTACGATCTGGAAGCCCCCTGTCTGGCCTTCTGAATTTTCTGGACTGAACCAATGTACATCTTACACATATTGATTGATGTCTCATGTCTCCCTAAAATGTATACAACCAAGCTGAGCCCCTACCACCTTGGGCCCATGTTGTCAGGACCTCCTGAGGATGCATCACAGGTGCGCATCCTCAAGCTTGGCAAAATACACTTTCTAAAAAATCTGAGAGCTGTCTCAGATTTTCAGGGTTCACACATGTAACGTAGGATGTCAATGTTTATAAAACAGACATTGTTCTATCTACTATTACAAATATGCTGCCAATTAACCTTGGACTTTCTCAACAAAATAAAAAATGTTGATGAGGTACAAATAATATATTTAAACTTAAATAATGTTGCAAGTTTTAATATGGCTACTTTTCAATTTTTCAATACTATTTTTTACTACTTTAACACTGTAAGAAAAATTAGTAATTAAAACATGAATAAAAGCGTTTACAGGGGGTGCACATGTTTCCTCCAGCCTCTGCCCATCCCCAGCTTTCATCCCAACTGTCCTGATGGCTCTAAGCATTGCTCCTTTCTCTGTACCAAGACCTCTCCCCAGAAACAAGCCCAAATCTTACCATACGTTATGGCACGCTCTGATGATGAACAGCGACGAGCAGCCAAAGCCTTAAGGCAGGGAGGCTTTTGTAAAACAAGACTTGTAGAATGTAACATGTGAAAGTAAAGCCCATAGCAGAGCTCCCTCCTCAGCACCCGGGGAGCAGACAGGAAGCTTTTGCCTCACCTTCCTCAATGGCCTGCAGCCACATCTCCCCGGGTCAGTTTTAAGGACAACGAAACTCTGGTCTTCAAGGTGGACACGCTACTAGGTGCTCCAAAGCCATGGTGACTCACTCTCGGGTGGGTCCCGAGGAGAACAAAGCTCTGGTTCTAGTCCTAACCCTAACCCTGTCCCAAGACTTTGACCCTGAACCTAAACCCTGATCCCTACCCTGGTTCCTAATTCTGATCCTTACTTTGATCCTGACATTGATCTTGACCCTGACCATGACCCCACCTCAAACTATACTTTTGGCCCTGACTCTGAGCATAATCCCTGTTATTATATTTACGATCTATCTCTAGTCTTACCCTCTAGTGGTAAATATCTGTACCCAAACGCACTTTTAAATTATTTAACTTCTTTTCCTTGAATTCTCTAAGGACATCCTAAAGGAGATTTCATTATGTATTTTGCTGTCCCTCTGAGTGGTATGGCTTCAGATAATTTCTAATACTTTGTGAGACATAAAAAGTTTGGAGAGTGACAGCACTGGGTTGTTTGGGATGCATGTTGGCATTCATGATAGTCATTGGTGCTGTTCTCCAAATATTTTCAGTTCACTTTTTATGAATGTATTCTGACTGTTCCATCCCACCTACTTAAATTTTCACATGGCTACATGACTGTTTTTCTTTTTTTCTTTGCCAATGGAGGTGAGAAGAAAATAACATGTGACTTTTTCAGGAGAAATTTCCAAGAAACAGAGTTCTATTCCGCATGCTTTTTTCTCTTTTCTATAGCAATGGGGATCTTATTGATGGTCCCTCCTTCCATCTGGATTCCTGTGTTAGGATGATACAGCACAGAGCTACCTCTCACCTGACCCATGATGAGATGTATATAAATGAGGAAGAAGATTTTTGAGCCACTGAAATTTGGAGGTTGTCTGTCACCACAGTTTAACCTAGCTCCCATTGACTGATGCAAGGCTGAAGAATGAGTCCAAACTGGATCTGGACAAGACATGTGAAGAGCACTCCAGGTTGAGTAAAATTCAAGTGTTATCTCAAGATAACAGTGAGCACGACATGTTATTGGGTGGGTGTGGGATAAATAAGGTATATCAGGTGAGAATAATGAGAAACTCAACTTTAAAAGACGGTGCTGATTTGGACTGTGGAGAGATTCAAATGCCCTGCTTAGCATTTGAGATTGTGATGGTTGAACAAACTAATTAAAAGCCCTAAATGAAGACTTGGGATAAATATCTGAGGGTGTCTAATATCCCAATTTTTCATCCTAGAATGGGCAGAGTCCTTGACCCCATTCTAGTGAGACTTCCAAAAGAAAAAAGACCTACATTTCTTCAACAACCCACATTGAGAGACTTTCCTGCACTTTTGACCTGTGGCTAACACTCCTCACCTTTCATTCTGTCATCAGCATTTTGGGGAAACACCTTTAACTCTCTATGATTTACAGGTTATTAAGTGGCCCTTATAATTCCCTCCAGAGGTGGAAAGGACTAATGATGATGGTGTCTCAGCTCACAGCAGCAAGCAGGCATGTGTGCTCAGCAGTCACGTGGCTCATCTGCTAGGAGCTTACTAAATACGATATTCTACAACGCTGCTTAACACAAGGGGAGACGCTCCTGACTCAGAGGGTTTAATTGCTCGCCTACTTCTTTTTCTGCCCTCTTGGGCTTCTAAAATGAAAAGAACCCTGGGGTGATAAAGTGAGTCAAAGGGTTGCCAGCCATATCACAGCAAAATAGATTCCTAAAAAATCCCTGGCCTAAGATGGCAGCCTTGGCTGGATAAGTTTGACTATGCTGATAGTGGACATGAGAGAGTGAAGGTGGTTGAAATGTTCATATTAAAGAATTTCCACCCAGATTACAAGAAAAGAGAGAGGAATGGAGATGGCAGCATGAGTCCCTACAATAAAAGCAGATGTTTTGAGATCACTTATATCTGTTCTGACAAAAATTAAAGACAGAAACCAAAGTTTAGCCTGAGGCTAAAATTAACTGGGCAATAAGCCAGAGGCACATATGACATAGACAGATTTAAACATTTCTCCCTTATATTAATAGAAATACTAAACTTACAAATAAATTGATTCCAAATAACACAAATATTCAAAAAATTTGATGAATAAACACTGGGGTCTACAGTAGTGTTTGAAGGAGATCTCACAAACAGGTTTGGTTTTTGAAGGTTAGAACTGATGGTCTAGAGAATTCATTTCATTCCAGAGAGAGAAAGGAGGAATTTCTTGGGTTCCTTCAGGAATGAGTCTAGCTTTGCCTCATCTTTGAATTATGGATACGGCAGAAGAAAACATGATGATTTCACCGATTGAAGGTGCAAAAAGTCACTGGGTTCTCTAAGAAGCCTGGGATTCTTCTGCTGGAAAAATAAGTTTGTTGAGAAAAAATGAGTTGAGGAGGCTGTTACTGAAGTGAAGCAGAATTGTTTTTACATAATCTGCTCATTACCCACTCTGTAGTGTGGATAAAAATTATTCAAGCAAAAGGTCCTCTTACTGTTCCTGGAATACAGTGGATAGA